ATTAGCTATCATTACAAGCAAGGAAGTTGTTTGCATTTTATAGGGCCAGTGAATTCCCAGTAATAAGATATTTTTTCACATATTAGTAAGATCTTCTAGGTGCAGTTAATTTCATATTACACACTGATGTTAGATATGGAGATGGAGTCAATTCTGCTGTGACCCTTCCTAACCTGGTCACAGAATTTTGCATGGTCAGTCATAGTCTGCCAATTATGACTCTGCTTATGTGCTCAGAAATTAGAGCTTTTCAAAATCACTACCCCCTTCTGCCTCAAAATTACAGTGTCTGCTGTTTTAGAGTGGCTTTGAACCCAAAAATAAATTGGAAGAGAGAAGACAAGCTTCAGAAAGCCAAGTATCGAGGCTAGCATTTAGTTAGTGACAGAATCTTTAATACCTGTAGTCTGGAATCATCTGTTAAGATTTGTTTACATGGAAAATGATTTATAGACAGAAGCAAATCCATAACATTAGAAACCACTTTCAAACTGCAGGCTGTTGCACTCCTGAATGCGTTAAGTGAACAGACACAGATACAAACTGTCTTGGCCATTTGCTGTTTTTCTTATGCTAGTTAAGCAGAACACTTTTCCTCTTAGAAGAAACAGTTATTTTCATTAATGTCAAAGCAAAGTAAGTGTTATTCCTTAGACACTATTCACTGCCTGTACAACAAAGTGCAAGCTACCAGTTCTGTCACTTTTTACATTTGATTTTGATTTAATGCATACAGTGGTTTGAAAGTGTATTAAAAATCTGCTGCCTTCTTCCTCTTCACTTGTTGCCCTGCTGGAGGCTTATGTTCTTCCAGTTTCCATCAGTGGTTGTCAAGTCTTTGTAATAGGATTAAAAGCTTGGACACCTGATATCCCTGGGTGCTGCAGTTCACCCTCATAAAAGCTGTTTGCTTTAAATTGAGAGAAAATCAGTTTTTAGTGGCATAATTAATTAAATTATGCAAAGTGTTCCAGATTCAGCATAACACTTTCTGAAGCAGCAATTGGAAGCTCTACATTGCATTCAAACAGCATTTCAATTGATGCTGCACTAGGCTGACCATAGAGTAGCATTTTCAAGGCTTTCGAGCACAAGGGATCCAATTTTGAAATGCAAATGCTTAATGTTGAGTGCTCAAACCCCATACATATGTACTTGAATAGGCAATTTGGTAGCCAACTACATAGTTCATGTGCAATAGTGCTAATACAAGCACTCAAAAAATTGAAATAAAGTTCTAAATGTAAGTACACATGCTTACAAACTGGGCTCAGATTATCTCACGTTTACTCATGATGGACAACCTGATAGAACAAGAATTACAATATGTTTTCGCAATTTAAAAGGCACAGTACAGAATTCATTGCTTTCTCCATCAGCAATATTTCAGCACATATTTTCTCTAAAGTGAGTTACCTTCTCCCATAATCAGCAGTTACACAACAAACCATTATTTGTACACTGAAGTGGGTCTGTAAAAGCATGATGCCTGGATTATTTGTATTCATTAGTAGCACAATTAGGTAGCTAAGGATGGTAATAATAAATTGAAACAATTCTGGACTGTAAGGTAACGCAGCCAAGAAAAGGAAAATGAAGCAGAAAACTAGACTACAATGTCAGCCTCACAAACAAATGTTGATCTAAAGGGACCAGATTAATTTTTATATTCACTACACTTATTTGAAAACTCGCTTTTCCTTTCCCATTCTGTCTCCATTAGGATTAAGTGCGCTTACATTTCAGTTCCTACAAAGTGAGCTGAGCAGTTTACTTCCTCTGATATTCAACAGGGATCCAGCCAATAGGCTCTGGAAAAGTGTTGAGCTCACTGTGTGAGACAGACCTCTCTTTGGTCAGCTGAATCTGAATCACCTGATTGCAGAGACTACAGTGACCCTTCTCCCAGACTGAGTTCAATAGCCTAAACACACAACACCTGAGATAGCCAAAATAATTTGAATCATGTCTTATAGGGTTGGAGAGTACAACACAGCACCTGCAGGAGACTCCATGGCTGTCTGGAGGTGTAGTCAGGCAGGATCCTCAAGGGTACCTAAGATAGTAGCATATATCTATGTCTAGGCAACTAAGTCAAAACTTTCTTGACTATAGGTGGATTTTAGAAATTAAAATTAGGCTATCTGCCAGGCCCTCAGGTCTTCCCTTTCCTTTTCATGTGGAAAACATGGATATTGTATGGCATCCCAGATAACACTACAAGCCTCTTTTTAGGCAAGTGAATCCCAGCCCTGGCTCAGGAATGGTTTCAGGTACTATTACATATCCAAGCAATATCATATAGCTAAAACACAAAGGAGAGCCTGATTTCCTACTGACAA